GAAACCCTGTCTCTACTAAAAATACAAAAAATTAGCCAGGCGTGGTGGTGAGCACCTATAGTCCCAGCTACTCGGGAGGCTGAGGCAGAAGAATGGCGTGAACCTGGGAGGTGGAGCTTGCAGTGAGCCGAGATCGTACCACTGCACTCCAGCCTGGGTGACACAGTGAGACTCCATCTCAAAAAATAAAAAAATAAATAAATAATAATAATAATAATGATACAGATATTACCTGAAGTTATCTAGCTGGCAGAAGAAATGCAGAACTAGGGTACTGAACGATGTCAGGGGTAGAGACAGAGATTTAAGAGTGATCTACTTAGTGGTAAACACTGAAGTGGGGCAGTTTAGGTGACAATGGACAGAAAGAGAAGGTCAGAAAAGGACACATGGTTGAGGACATATAGAGGGTGAAGAGAGAGATAAGCCTGAGGGAGAGCAGTCAGATAAACAAAAGAGAGTGAGCAGAATAATGTCATGGAAGGAAGCTAGACTAGAATAGAGGACATTATTATGAATATGCCACGGATTCACAAAAGAGACCTATATTGGGAAATAAATCATTATCCCTGGAAGCCAGTTATCTACTCTTGAGCTTTAAGTTTGGGTAGGTTTTCTTGCAATTTTTTTGTGGTAAAATAAAATTTATATCATTTTAACCAAATTTTTAAGTATACAATTCAATGGCATTAAGTATATTCACATGGTGTAACTTGGGTAGTCCATTTTGCACACGCTTTGTATGGAACTTTTTATGCTACTCTCATTTATAAATTCTCTAGAAGCTGACCAACAAGACTTGCCTTAAAATTAATTCTAGCAAACAATGGACATTATTGTCCCAATATATTTCAAAATGAACATATCACTAAAGAGGGTGACATAAACACTAAGGTGGATTTAGCAAAAATGATTAATTTTTAATTAACTATATTTATTTTCCAAACTCATTAGACCAACAATTACACATGGTGTTCCTCTATTCATTCAGTGCACTCAATAAATTTGTTTAGCATCTATTATGTGTCAGGAACTGTTCTGCATACTGAGGAAGACAAGCAATAAACAAATGAATAATTAAGAGAGCAAAGTAATTACAGAGCATTATGCTAGTAAGAAAATAAGCCAGGCCAGGAGCAGAGGCTCACGCCTGTAATCCCAGCACTTTGGGAGGCTGAGGCAGGCAGATCACTTGAGTTCAGGAATTCAAGACCAGCCTGGGCAACATGGTGAAACTCCATCTCTACTAAAAATACAAAAAATTAGCCAGGCGTGGTGGCATGCACCTGTAGTCCAGCTACTCGGGAGGCTGAGGTGGGAGAATTGCTTGAACCCTGGAGGTGGAGGCTACAGTGAGCTGAGATCATGCTACTGTACTCTAGCCTAAGTGACAGAGCGAGATTCCCCCTAAAAAAAAAAAAAAGAAAAGAAAAGAAAGAAAAACAAACAAAAAAGAAACCAGAAACCAGGGCGGTGTGATAAGGTGATAAGGTGTGATTGTGGCTGGGGAGCTACACTAGCTAGGACGTTTGCAGAAAACCCCTTGTTGAGGACCTGAATAAGGAGAGAGGAAGTGTACCACAGAGAAAAGTCAGGGCAACACAGGAGGCTGGCATCTCATAGGGCCTTTCAGGGCACCCTAAGGAGGGCCATAGGAGCCACAGAGATGTGATCTTATTTCTTTTCTATTTTCATTAAAAAAAATTTTTTTTTGTAGGGACAGGGTCTTACTATGTTGCCCAGGCTATCTTGAACTCCTGGCTTCACACAATCCTTCCACTTTGGCCGTCAAAAGTGCTGCGATTATAGGGGTGAGCCACTGTGTCCAGCCTCTTTTTAAAAACAAGATCATTGGTTGTGTTTGAACAACGGACTTAGAAGGTTGAATTAACAAAAATCAATTATGGCTTAAAATTCGTAATTATAAAAAATAAAAATTTCCTTTTTATATTGGATTAAAAGCCAGCTGAATATCCCACTGAAAATTAACAGATATTTGAACTTCTTAACTTTACCTTTTCAAAATTGATCTCTTTTATGACACAGTGCTTGCTATCT